TGTAAAAAAGTTATTAATTTATAGTTGGGGGCCTTAAGCACATAAATAGGTCATTTCGCGCAAATTCATCTAAAAGCGCCAAATTTGGCACAGATGTAGCTCAGGTCATACCGAACTGATTTAGCTAGGGAGCCGGAGCCAGCGACCCTCGGGGCCAAGATGGCCGCCAAATCCAATATGGCCGCTGACCGAAAAGGGTTCCGGCTATAACTTTTGAACCAAAAGAGTTACAAATACAAACTTGATATGTTTTTCAGCTTAATTGATCATGAAAAACACATAGGAATGTTTATATTTATGACCCAGTATATATGGACCCCTTGATCCTCCCATTCCAATATGGCCGCTGTTCAAAAAAGCAGTTTGGGCTTTAAAATGGGCGCACCCCATTGTTAGCGCAAATTCATCTACAAGCACTAAATTTGGCACAGATGTAGCTGAGGGCATACTGAAATGATTTAGCCAGGGCGCCCAAGCCAATGGTCCCTGAGACCAAGATGGCGGCCAAATCCAATATGGCCGCTGCCCGAAAAGGGTTCCGGCTATAACTTTTGAACCACATGAGTTACAAATACAAACTTGATATGTTTTTCAGCCTAATTGATCATGGGAAACACATAGGAATGTTTATATTTATGACCCAGTATATATGGACCCCTTGATCCTCCAATTCCAATATGGCCGCTGTCCAAAAAAGCAGTTTGGGCTTTAGTATGGGGCCTTACGCCCCAATGTTAGCGCAAATTCATCTACAAGCACCAAATTTGGCACAGATATAGCTGAGGGCATACTGAAATGATTTAGCCAGGGCGCCGAAGCCAATGGTCCCTGAGACCAAGATGGCGGCCAAATCCAATATGGCCTCCGCCTGAAAGGGATTCGGCTATAGCTTTTGAGCCAGATGATACACAAATACAAACTTGATGTCTATTTTACCTTTTTTGACCATGGGAAACCCATAGGAATACTTACATTTATGATTGGGTATAAATGTAAGTCAGGACCCCCAAATTCCCTAAGCTCAATACGGCCCCTGTCCGAAAACGGGTTTTGGCTACAAATTTTTAACCAAATGCTCTACAAATGAGGATGTAGTGTCTATTTTATGTTTATTGACCACAGTCAGTTTGCATATTTATATTTATGCTTGTGTAAGTCTGGAACCTGTATTCTTTTCAAGACTGTGGTTGAAAATCCTTTTTTACCACAACTTTGAAGGTTATTCTCAATGTTGATTCATTTCCTTAAAAAAGTGAAATGCTTTTCAGTGTCCCAAAGGTGAATACATTTCAAAGTGTAATCATATACGAAAGAATAAGACACAATTATTATTGCAAGGCAATATTTATATTATGTCAAATTGTTAAAATAGTCAATGAACTCTGGGTTTACAGCAGTTACAGTGCCCTCTACATGCTGTCTTGCAGCCACAGTGGAGGAGAATGGTGCAGGCTTTACTGGCGTCTCCGAGATTAGTCCAGTAAGGTTCCCAAGTCTTGTTCGTAGAGTCCCGATACCATCCCCATGCATTGAACTCTGGGATATCTTGCTGGACAGCGGTTGCCTGATTCCAGTAGAAGCTGGCCTGCAGCAATGCTCTTTTGATGTGCTGAATTCTGAGACAGGTTCTCGAGAGACTTGGGACCATTTGAGAAAAGGTGATGTGTAGCTTCATCTGCTGTACATGATGACGACCATATACTCCAGTCTTTGGACATGGACATCATTGTTGATCTGTTCAGGTTTCAAGGTGAGGGTAACCAGGGATTCTGTGAGATCTGGTGTTGCCTCCCAAGCTGCCCATGCACTCTTTTTCCCATGGCCCAGGAAGACTGAGGTTGTGTCACAGCCTGTTAAAGCGTGGAAGAGTGGTAAGGCCAGTGACTTCTGGGGACCAAGATCCTTGCTGATTTCATGAGCAGGAATGTCCCTATAGTTTTTTCCACCTGCAAAGCCGATCCAGAGCTCTGTGAGACCGAGTGTGTGAGCGAATCAGCCACTTCTCTTTCTATAATTTCTTGGGTTATCAACCTCAGCCTTCCTGGGCCATGGGAAAAAGAGTGCAAGGGCAGCTTGGGAGGCAACTGCACTGATTCAGCACATCAAAAGAGCACTGCTGCAGGCCAGCTTCTACTAGAATCAGGCAACCGCTGTCCAGCAAGTTATCCCAGAGTTCAATGCATGGGGATGGTATCGGGACTCTACGAGCAAGACTTGGGAACCTTACTGGACTAATCTCGGAGACGCCAGTAAAGCCTGCACCATTCTCCTCCACTGTGGCTGCAAGACAGCATGTAGAGGGCACTGTAAGTGCTGTAAAGCCAAAGTGTGTTGCACTTCTATATGAGGGTGCTTGTACAAACAATGATGGTGGAGACGATGAGAGATCCGGTGATTGTGAGTGATAATGATAATTCATGAAAGAGACCATGAGAATTCACTGTTTTTTATGTTATTGCTGTTTCTTTTGTTATGCTAAACAAACATTTAAGAGTTTTGGACAAATTGACTATTTTATTCTTTTAACAATTTGACATAATATAAATATTGCCTTGCAATAATAATTGTGTCTTATTCTTTCTTATATGATTACACTTTGAAATGTATTTACCTGTGGTACACTGAAAAGCATTTCACTTTTATAAGGAAATGAATCAACATTGAGAATAACCTTCAAAGTTGTGGTAAAAAAGGATTTTCAACCACAGTCTTGAAAAGAATACAGGTTCCAGGATTACACAAGAATAAATATAAATATGCCAACTGACTTCCTGTGGTCAATAAACATAAAATAGACACCACATCTTCATTTTTAGCGAATTTGGTTCAAAATTTGTAGCCAAAACCCTTTTTCGGACAGCGAGTATATTGAATTTTGGGAATTTTGGGGGTCCTGATATACCCAATCATAAATGTAAGTATTCCTATAAGTTTCCCATGGTCAAAAAAGGTAAAATAGACATCAAGTTTGTATTTGTATATATTAGAGGTGGGCATAGATTAATTTTTTTAATCTAGATTAATCTAGATTAATATTGAAATTAATCTAGATTAATCTAGATTAAAATGGCTCATTTGAATTCTCCCGAAGGCATTCAGAATATGTGTGCTACCCAAATAATAACTTAAAGTAAGTCTTTGAGAATAGTTTGCCTCGCGTAGGGATGTGCATTTCTGCCAAAAATGCTATTCGACAATCGAGGAGCAAAAGTCGAATATCGTTTAAAAAAAAAAACAAAAAAAAAACGCAATGACAGAAAGGGAGGCCAATTTCATCTTTAGCGATTTGTCATCAAACAAACTGTTTATTAATTGAACAAGTAACATGTTTTCGTCCTTTTTTTAAACATAGTAGGCTAATTGGAAGAAGAAAAAAAACAATACGCAGAACAGTCCGTTTTTGCATCGCCAATGCTCGTTAGATCAAAAAATAATGTCATCATATGTCATAAGAATTTTATGTGAACCTGCCTTGTTACTGCAATAGCCTCATTTTTAAACAAATTAGTTTCAATCAATGTAAACTATTCGTGTGATTATGCCACTGCGCAATACACGCGCAATACACACACAATGTATTACCTGAATGAAATGAAATCGAATGTATCGTCCTGTGGAATCATTCATTCACAGACAGCTTACGAAGATGTTCAACTAATAAAGATCTTCATCGCTGGCAAAAATATGATGCATTTGCAGATTTGCATTCACTAGACTAGACTGTAGATCGGCCACTTCATCCAACGCTCTTGATGCTCTTAAATCTTCCTGTTTCGACTCCGAGTGTGAATTGAAAGCGCTTCAGACGATTCAGTGCACGAGGAACTGAACAGATCAACTGATTCGCGAACCGATTTAGACAGATCATCTGACAACTTGTTTGATGAAGTCTTTGAACAGAATCGACTCAAAAGAGTGATTCATTTGTAAATGAGCATCGCTCATGCCCATACAAAGGACACAGCGCGCTTGGAATAAACTCATTTAACAACGTATTGCATTAAAATAAAGTAACGAGAGGAACGTCGCCCAACGTAACAAAGTAAAAGTACACCTTGTGTCCCTGACAGGAAAATACCCTACTGCGCGATCTGTGACAGTAGGCGCGGCGTCATACTACACATTAGAATTGCGCGAAAATATAACGATATTCGAAAAAGCTATTTATGATCCCAACCCAACTTTGATTAACGGCGATATTTTTTTTATCGCCCGATAAGAGTCTCATGTTAACGCAGCACGTTAACGCCGATAACGGCCCAGCACTAATTTGTATCTCATCTGGCTCAAAAGCTATAGCCGAATCCCTTTCAGGCGGAGGCCATATTGGATTTGGTCGCCATCTTGGTCTCAGGGACCATTGGCTTTGGCGCCCTGGCTAAATCATTTCAGTATGCCCTCAGCTATATCTGTGCCAAATTTGGTGCTTGTAGATGAATTTATGCTAACAATGGGGCGTAAGGCCCCATACTAAAGCCCAAACTGCTTTTTTGGACAGCGGCCATATTGGAATTGGAAGATCAAGGGGTCCATATATACTGGGTCATAAATATAAACATTCCTATGTGTTTCTCATGATCAATTAAGCTGAAAAACATATCAAGTTTGTATTTGTAACTCATGTGGTTCAAAAGTTATAGCCGGAACCATTTTCGGGCAGCGGCCATATTGGATTTGGCGGCCATCTTGGCCCGAAAGGGGCCCCTGGCTCCGGCGCCCTAGCTAAATCATTTTGGTATAACCTGAGCTACATCTGTGCCAAATTTGGCGCTTTTAGATGAATTTGCGCAAAAATGTGCTTAAGGCCCCCAACTATTAGTTCATTTATATATATAGCGGCTCTGGAGAAAACCGTGATGTCATCGTCCAGCTCAGTTCAGTTCTCATATAATGCTGTCAGTGCAGAAGATCAATAATATTGCTGAATATTAAATGTGCCTGTGCTTCAGTCTCAGCTGAGACCAGACTAACGGTGTGTGTGTGTGTGTGTGTGTGTGTAGCGTACGCCGTGGGGCTCGTGCTGACGTTTGCAGTGATGCTGCTGTCTAAGATGGGCCAGCCGGCTCTGCTGTACCTGGTGCCCTGCACACTCCTCACCTGTGCCGTCCTCGCCGCCGCCCGCAAACAGTTCCGCAGCTTCTGGACCGGCCCCAGCGTCCCGGTGAGCCCACGAGCGGCCCGCGCTCCTGACGCCAGACTCCGCACGCGCTCGCACTTCAGGCCAACTACTGTCATCTAGCTAAAGGGATAGTTCACCCAAATATGAGAATTAGCCCATGATTTACTCTCCCTGAACCCATCCTAGTGTATATGCAGAGTTTCCGCTAGAAAAAAATGGTGCCGCCCAGTTTCCGTTTAACGGACATTTTGATGATATGCCGGTCAAATATCGCCTGTTAATAGGTCAAGTTGAGGAAAACTGGAGGCAGGCTATGTAACTTAAAAAATGTCATAATCAGGCCGTATAGAATGCAACATGTTATTATTAGCCTAACTTTCAAATAGACGGAAAAAAACATGAACGCTCGATTGGCGTCAATCAACACCAATTGTTTCTTACTATGGTTTCACACACATTCACTTTTAGAAACATTGAGGCACGGATGTACCTAATACAAATAAATAAAACATCTCCAGTTAACTAGCAGATCATTCATTTAGTTCGCTATTAAATAAGAGATCTAGCGCTAAAATCAGTTGTTTTTGAAATCCAGCTGAGCGCTCGTGTCGCCGCTATCAGTGTCATGGACGACGCGCCGCGCGAGTTGCGCAATCTTCACTCGGACGCGCGTTTCTATCTATCGCCGTTGCGGAGACTCTACACTCTATTATTTATTAATCCAGGCAAATTTGTTGATGAAACATTGATTAAAATGAAGATACAATTTATACAAAAACTAAATAAACTTTAATGAAAGGCTTTCTACAAAACAAAAATAAATAAGTGGTCAAATCTGACCCATTCCATATGTTTTCCGATATATTCCGGTCATCTTATGATTATGATGAAAAATAATAACATTTTATTTATAAATATGAAACGTATGTTTAAGTTTTTTAATAATAAGAAAAATTATTAAATTTTAATAATTTAAAATTTTGCTCCGCTTTGCTCATGCTCTGGTGTGTAGCCTAATGCATGTGTGTGTGTGTGGTGGAGGGCTGCGATTTTCGAATAATAATCAACCCAGCGATCTTCGAATATTATTTTTGCTTGAAAATTTCGTTTTGTATAAATTGTGTCTTAATTTTAATCAATGTTTCATCAACAAATTTGCCTGGATTAATAAATAAGAAGCAAATATAGTGGACAATATAGCAGGACACGGAGGCGCCGGCGCGTGCACACTATGAAGTGTGCATTTCTCTCTAGGCGCGTTCACTACTGCGCAGATGGCGAGTCTGCATCGTCAACTTTATCAACAATTCAAATGTTTCATGCATAATCATTACTTTCGCCGGTTATTTGTGGCAAGCTTTATTTCCGGTGTTGCGTGATATCTCTGCGCCCAAGTATCAGTGCTTCGCCTGTGCTTCCAAACATGCATTTGCCCACCTATCTAACTGTAGGGGAGACCGTGAATAACCCCAATTTAAAAAAACCGGTGGAGTGTTCCTTTAAGGCTGCCTGGGCCTGGCCATATCTGAACCGTCTCACTCAATCGGTCGGTGTTCAGGTCTATATTACAGCCGTTCTAGGCGTGCACTTTATTTGAAATGCAGCATGCGATGTTGTTTAATAACTTTCAAACGTAGAGGCTGTTCCTTTATAACATAAGCAAAAATACACCGACCTTTGGCTTATACATTTAGGCTTATTCTCAAATTCATATTGTGTTAGGGGGGCGGGATTATTACGCAAGTTTAATCGGACAATTTGACCAGAGAGATTTAATTTTGTCGGACATTTCATTTTTTTTCCGGCCAATGTCCGGTAATTACCGGACAACGGAAACCCTGATATATGACACTCTCCTTTCAGACGAACACAATCAGAGTTATATTAATAACACCCAGCTTTATAATGGGAGTCGATGGGTCCGTCAAACTGCATCTGTCCATCACTAAGTGCTCCTGGAGGTTAATAAAGACATTTTTCTTACACAAACTCATCGCTTCGTTTCAGAAGGCCTTTATTAACCCCTTTTTATCCATCATAATCACTTTTATGATGGACGGATGCACTTTTATCAAGGACGGATGCACTTTTATGATGGACGGATGCACTTTTATGATGGATAGATGCACTTTTATGATGGACAGATGCACTTTTATGATGGACAGATGCACTTTTATGATGGATAGATGCACTTTTATGATGGACGGATGCACTTTTATGATGGATAGATGCACTTTTATGATGGACAGATGCACTTTTATGATGGACAGATGCACTTTTATGATGGATAGATGCACTTTTATGATGGATAGATGCACTTTTATGATGGACGAATGCACTTTTATGATGGACGGATGCACTTTTATGATGGATAGATGCACTTTTATCATGGATAGATGCACTTTTATCATGGATAGATGCACTTTTATGATGGACGGATGCACTTTTATGATGGAAAGATGCACTTTTATGATGGACAGATGCACTTTTATGATGGACAGATGCACTTTTATGATGGAAAGATGCACTTTTATGATGGATAGATGCACTTTTATGATGGACGAATGCACTTTTATGATGGACGGATGCACTTTTATGATGGATAGATGCACTTTTATGATGGACAGATGCACTTTTATGATGGACAGATGCACTTTTATGATGGATAGATGCACTTTTATGATGGATAGATGCACTTTTATGATGGACGAATGCACTTTTATGATGGACGGATGCACTTTTATGATGGACAGATGCACTTTTATCATGGATAGATGCACTTTTATGATGGATAGATGCACTTTTATGATGGATAGATGCACTTTTATTATGGACAGATGCACTTATGATGGACAGATGCACTTTTATGATGGATAGATGCACTTTTATGATGGATAGATGCACTTTTATGATGGATAGATGCACTTTTATGATGGATAGATGCACTTTTATGATGGACGAATGCACTTTTATGATGGACGGATGCACTTTTATGATGGACAGATGCACTTTTATCATGGATAGATGCACTTTTATGATGGACGGATGCACTTTTATGATGGACGGATGCACTTTTATGATGGACGGATGCACTTTTATGATGGATGGATGCACTTTTATGATGGATAGATGCACTTTTATGATGGATAGATGCACTTTTATGATGGACGGATGCACTTTTATGATGGATAGATGCACTTTTATGATGGATAGATGCACTTTTATGATGGACGGATGCACTTTTATGATGGACGGATGCACTTTTATGATGGATAGATGCACTTTTATCATGGATAGATGCACTTTTATGATGGACGGATGCACTTTTATGATGGATAGATGCACTTTTTTATGATGGACGGATGCACTTTTATGATGGACGGATGCACTTTTATGATGGACGGATGCACTTTTATGATGGACGGATGCACTTTTATGATGGACAGATGCACTTTTATGATGGATAGATGCACTTTTATGATGGATAGATGCACTTTTATGATGGATAGATGCACTTTTATTATGGACAGATGCACTTTTATGATGGATAGATGCACTTTTATGATGAATAGATGCACTTTTATGATGGATAGATGCACTTTTATGATGGATAGATGCACTTTTATTATGGACAGATGCACTTTTATGATGGACAGATGCACTTTTATGATGGACAGATGCACTTTTATGATGGATAGATGCACTTTTATGATGGACAGATGCACTTTTATGATGGACAGATGCACTTTTATGATGGATAGATGCACTTTTATGATGGATAGATGCACTTTTATGATGGATAGATGCACTTTTATGATGGATAGATGCACTTTTATGATGGACAGATGCACTTTTATGATGGATAGATGCACTTTTATGATGGACAGATGCACTTTTATGATGGATAGATGCACTTTTATGATGGATAGATGCACTTTTATGATGGATAGATGCACTTTTATGATGGACAGATGCACTTTTATGATGGACAGATGCACTTTTATGATGGACAGATGCACTTTTATGATGGATAGATGCACTTTTATGATGGATAGATGCACTTTTATGATGGATAGATGCACTTTTATGATGGACAGATGCACTTTTATGATGGATAGATGCACTTTTATGATGGACAGATGCACTTTTATGATGGATAGATGCACTTTTATGATGGACAGATGCACTTTTATGATGGATAGATGCACTTTTATGATGGATAGATGCACTTTTATGATGGACAGATGCACTTTTATGATGGATAGATGCACTTTTATGATGGATAGATGCACTTTTATGATGGACAGATGCACTTTTATGATGGATAGATGCACTTTTATGATGGACAGATGCACTTTTATGATGGATAGATGCACTTTTATGATGGATAGATGCACTTTTATGGACTTTCACTGCCATTATAAAGCTGGGAAGCATCAGGACATTTATTAATATAACTCTGATTGTATTCGTCTGAAAGGAGAGTGTCAGATACACTAGGATGGGTTCAGGGAGAGTAAATCATGGGCTAATTTACATTTTTGGGTGAACTATCCCTTTAAAGTTCTTAAATTGTCAACATATTTGCCTAAACATTAATGCATGTAACGTATGAGTGCATGAACATGGCCCACAGAAACACTGAAGCTTGAGATTGAGGGGTGTAGCGATTCCCTCACGACACTGAACTCACCATACGGTGTAACTGCGATACTCCAAGACATATGATAGAAGGTTAAAACGTTTTATTTTTTTACTGTGGATTCAAATGCTAAATTTGGTATTACATTGTGTGTAAATGAATATTCTTGGACTCAGTGCTGAAACCCAAAGCACAGACAATAGAGACGCCAGAATAACAATATTCATGATTCTGAAGCTGGAAATACTGAGTTATTGTAGATGAATATGTTTGATCTCTGTCACTGACTAGATATATTTATAATAATGTCGGCCACTATTACTGGTATCATCAGGAGCCACATATATTCCCACAGTGCATTATTATACATTATATCCAACATTATATATAGTAGTTTAATGTAGTACTGACACTAAAACTCAGTAACTCAGTGATACACTATACACTATACATACTGTTGCATTTTTGTATTGCGATATATTGTTACACCCCTACTTTCTGGCTGTGTGTGTGTGTGTGTGAGACGTGTTGTGATATAAGACTGCTGTGTTACATGTGACTTGGTCTCCATCAGGTCCTGGACGAGTCTAGGAAGCCGTTATTATCAGGTTTGAGCTCTTGTTTTAGTCTGTGTGTTGCTTCTGTAATGCCTGTGTTCCTTCAGTTCCCCTGCCCAACACTAGGTGGCGCTAGAGGACTCAGATGATCTGTGTCTAGATGAGCTGCTTCTGTCTCTCCCGCATGTTGGTCACATGTTTGCATTTCTCTGACTAACACACGGCGAGACAGAAGACCCTTCCCCTGTAGAAGTGTTGTGTCCCTGAGTACAGATGCTGAGCTCTGACACACAGCGGCTCTCGTTCCCTCATAATCACAGGATTATCATTAGTGTCTCACAGGAGAACTCAACAACAGCAGCGTACGCACACCAATTTGCTTTAAAACGCACTGTAATGTTAATAAATTTGGAGCATTTATATAATAACAATGATAAATTATATACGGATTTAAGTATAAACTATATATAGATAAAACTATGTAAATAGATATTTAATACCAATAAACTAATAATTAACATTTACAGACTATCACTGTGATTTTCATGCTAACCCTAACTGCTTACATGCATATTTTAGTGCTGTTAAAATCATTTTTTAAATTTCTTTTAACTCTAGTTTTATATTTTTCCTTTGCATGGCATCACTGCCTCATCATCATCAGCGTCTACTAAACATGTGAAACTGTTTCATGTGTCTGACTGTAACACACACACACAGGACTGTCACACACACACACACACACAGGACTGTCACACACACACACACACACACACACACACACACACACACAGGACTGTCACACACACACACACAGGACTGTCACACACACACACACACACACAGGACTGTCACACACACACACACACACAGGACTGTCACACACACACACACACACACACACACACACACACACACACACAGGACTGTCACACACACACACACACACACACACACACAGGACTGTCACACACACACACACACACACACACACACACACACAGGACTGTCACACACACACACACACACACACACACACACACACACACACACACACACACACACAGGACTGTCACACACACACACACACACACACACACACACAGGACTGTCACACACACACACACACACAGGACTGTCACACACACCCACACACACACCCACACAGGACATGCTCCGCTGCTCCAGTAATGTGTGTGTGTGTGTGTGTCCTCAGATGGAGGCTCTGGACACACTGAAGGAGTGAGGACCTGCTGAGGATCCGTGACTGACCCGTCAGGATGATCTGATGGGACTGGAGTGTGTTTCTCATCATTACACTGGGACACTTTACTAAAAACTGGAATGATTCTTTAAGGGGCCTTAAATTACCAGCACCTGCTGTTTTTTTTTTACTTTCACTTTTTTATGTGATAATTTTATAACGTAATGTTTGACATATTCCACAAACATGTAATGAATAATTCACTCTTTTTTTGTCATTGAAATAAACATCGATATGAAAACAGAACAGGATCATTGATGCTCTCAGACACTGCCTGGACAAGCACATGTCAATAGTGCAGGTCGAATTCCATTCGACTCAATGAATATAGATTTAATACATATTTATAAAAAAGAACAGTGAACACAAGTTTACACTCTTTAAACTCTTTTTAGTTTAGGTACACTTGGGTACATTGAAACTCTATATTTAAAATGCATACAATGAATAGACAGGGTTTTGATGCGAGATGAAACACTGATGCTGGAGATTGGACGAGTCGGCACAGATGCCTTGATCACACAGGATCCGCTTATTTTATGTTTAAGATAAAACACACATCAGATCTCCCAGCATCCGCTGTAACACACACGCCTATGAGCATGGAGGGAAACTAATGCCGGCTTTTGGGTGATATAGATAAATAAATATGGAAATAAATCGATTCGTGGCCTTTGAGAATCGATCTTGAATCGACCACATTTGGAACAAAAATGATTCATTGAAAAATCCATTTTTTTGCCCAGCCCTACTTTATATGTGGGTCACTTATGCATTTGCGTCATCAAAATAATAAGTGTTAGGTCCAGTGTAGTTTAGTGCTGATGTTGAACAACACGGGTACGGTGAGCACAGGTGTGGGGATGTGGCCAGGGGTAGGGGTAGGGTCAAAGGTCAGGGTTAGGGTCAAAGGAATAGTTCACTTCAAAATAAAAAAATTCTGTCATCATTTACTCTCCCTCAAGTTGTTTCAAACCTGTAAGAATTACTTTCTTCCGCTGAACACACAATTATTGTGAGGAATGTCGGTAACCAGACAGTTGATCCATTGACTTCCATAGTATTATTATTATTATTAAATATATAAGTACAATGTAAAAACATGTATTTACACAATAAGTGCATTGCATCAAAATATGGAAGCTTGTTTCCGGCACGGAATGAAAAATAACAATAATGGTAATTGCGACTTTTAATCTCACAAAATTGTGAGTTTATATCTCGCAATTGTTTTTGTTTTTTTAATTTACAGAAAAAATCTGAATTGTCAGATATAAATTGGAATTAAGAGAAAAGTTAATAAAGACACTAAATATAAACTGGTTAATTATTTATACATTCTTGGTAACACTTTACAATAAGGTTAATTCGTTAACATTCTTTAATGCATTTACTAACATGAACTAACAATGAGCAATACATTTGTTACTGTATTTATTAATCTTTGTTAATGTTAGTTAATACAAATCCAGCTGTTCATGTTAGTTCACAGTGCATTTAACTAATGTTAACTAATACAACCTTTGATTTTAATAACTTATTAGTAAATGTTTAAATTAATATTAACTAAGATTAATAAATGGTGTAGAAGTATTCTTCTTAGTTCATGTTAACTGAGGTAGTTAACAAATTAACCTTTGTAAAGTGTTACCACGAATGTGTAAATAAGGGACTTTATATTAAGTGTCTTTAATGCACTGTGAACCATCATGAACAGCTGTATTTTTATTAACTAACATTAACAAAGATTAATAAGTACTGTAACAAATGTATTGCTCATTGTTAGTTCATGTTAGTTAATACATTAACTACTGAACCTTACAGTAAAGTGTAACCACATTCTTCATGTGAAACACTGCGTTCATGAGGTGTGCTAAGATAACATTAAACGTAGCCTGTAGGTGTCAGTGATCCCGACGCGCCGCGCGCTCCGCCCCGGTCATGTGACGCGCCGCGGGCGTTGACTTCACTGACTCAGCGGGAGGGACGGGCTCGAGCGAAGCGTCACGCCGCGTCAGTCTGGACTCGGAGTCGCACAATTATGAAAAATCCACCTTCCGCTGGAGCTTCAGCGGACGCACACGAATCCCTCCGCCGCCACCGGGCTCTCCTCCCGCGGCTTCCCGAGACGCGACGCGCCGATAGATGGCTAGACACCCTGGGTCGCGACGCGTGAGTCTGAACGCTGAAGAGAATGGTACGGATCTTTTCTAGTGTTTATGCGTGGCACACTGACGCTGACTCTTGCTGCATGAGAGGAACGCGCTTGACAGGCGCTGACGCGAGGCGTTGCGTCGCGGCGCTCCTGCTCGTGGTGGTTCACCGCTAGAACCCTGTCCGGTACCGGAGCGTCTGGAAACACCTGGCGTCGCGTTCACACAGCAGAACGCACCGATCGTGTGCGTTCACATATTTAAAGCCTCCGTTGAGTAAACGGTTAGCATAGCAGCTCGCGCCGTTTCTCGAATAACTATGAACAACCACGTGAACTGTAATATTATTAGCAATATTCATAACGGAGTTTTTTTTTTTCTTGATCGGCGGGAGATTTGAGGCAAAACCTGCGGTTGGATCTGCAGCACGGTGGATTATAGATGTTACACTGTTTATGTGATCAATGATAATCGTGTTTATGTTCATTAATGCGCTTTAAACGTTTACCTCACACACTCATCTGCCGTTGGTTTGTCAGTGTGGCGCGGAACGTCACGTGTCGTCACTGACCGCGAACGAATAATAATCGAATAAACGCAGCGCGAGTTTCGCTCTCATATTGAGTTTATAGATGTGTTGAGGCCCGTTTCACACTACGATCAATAACTATAATGATGACTATAGTTTAGTAATAATATAGATATTAAATCACACACCAGTAGCTGATCATCTGTTTATTCTCATTTTTACGTCTGCCGCTTTAAATGCTCTCGATCTCTGCTAAAAACAAGCGCTAAAACTAGCATCTGGTCTTATGGTCTCCTAGCTGAAAGTGTCCAAACCCCCGTAAACCAGCATGAGAGACCAATTCAGCTGTTTTATTCACCAGGGTAATGTTTTTATCCTTCATCAGAGGAAAAGTGTTTGAAATATCGTTCTTGTGTGTCGTTATCCTTATAGGTATGACGTAAACTTTTTTTCTTTTTTTTGTGTGTTTATTGTAAAGTCAAATCTGATCCAGAAATGTTGAGTAATTATGTCATTGAAAATAGTAATAATATGGTGATTTAATGCTTTAAAACAGCCTGACAGGAAGTCTTGATGATTTGCATGAGTGGCTGTTTAAGAGGTTTACTGTGTTAAGTATTAGTTAACGTTGACAGATTCAGATGATTGACACTTTCAGAATCATTCCAGCTGTAGTGTGCTTCTGTGTAAGTGTACTTGCTGTGTGTTTATGGTGTCTCTCTGGTGTTTACACTGGTTTCAGTGTGTGTTTACTGTGGTAAAGTGAGCTGGAAACCCAACGCACAGGACAATATGTGACACCAGAATAACAATATTCATGATTCTGAACCTGAAAACATAATTTTAGATGAATATCCGTGCACTCTTTCACTCACTAGAATAATGTAGGCCACTTTTTGCTGGTTTCGGCTCGTAGATTTCCAGTGTTCCTCTGCAGGTCTCTGAGAACCACGGCTCTTCTCGGGCCGGACTGGATTTACCGGCAGTTCAGCGTGTTTTCAGGGCCTAGAGCTGAATTGTTAGTCTAAACTAGTTGCGTTGACCTCATGACCCCTGTGAGATCCCAGCGCACTCGTCCTCGTCTCACAGCCAGTGTTCACGTCACTCACGATCATTAGTGTTCGCTGTGGATATCCATCCATCACTCAGTCAGATCTTTTGAGAAATGACTCAGTGTTTTTTGTTCATGCTATGGAAGTCAATGGGGTCCAACGTTGGCGTCCACTGAAGAAACAG